CTGTCCTGGATGTATGATGAAGCATAGCCACAGTGCCAAAGAACCTAAAACGGTCATTAAAATTAGAGAAAGGTGTACTTTCCTATTTAAGAGGTTCCAGCAATGCCTACTCCCGGTGATTTAAAAAGAGAGATTTAATTACAGAGATCTTGCTAAAAGAAATTTCTCCAATTCTCTTTTTCTCTTTGTTTTGGACAACAAACTGCCCTTTTACGCAATATTTAAGCAATTTTAAAGCTTGTAATGAAAATCGCTGAAGAAATTGAGGCATAGCCTGAGCAAAGGATTTCAGCATTGAGCTGCTGGTAAATAGTTTGCAGCCACAATGCTACGCGTGTTGGCATTGCAAAGTTGAATTTTTTCTTAGTATTATATAGAAAGGTGTTGGTGTAGTTAAAAAACAGTGCGAGTAAAACAAAATGCTGGCAAACATTAAGGGATATTTTCCTGCTGTGTTCCAAATACTTATTCCAGACATACTGAAAAACAGTGGAGCTTACTTTGGTCTCATTTCTAGTGCATTGGAATTGTTCATCAGTTGTGTTCCTGAGTCAAGGGTTTGTAAGTGTACAACTTGGCATATATATATTGATTTAAGATTTTGTAGAACATACGATCACATTGACTATTAATTCTTTGGAAATACTTTGCTATTTGCATGTTCGAAATTGTACTAAATTGTTTACCTGGAGTGATTATTTTCAGGGTAAACTGTCAGAAAGCATTTAAATACCACTAATTTTAATAAGAAATAAGCATTCTGGCATGTGAATAAATGAACCAACAGGTATGTACTAGCTTTCTGATTTTCAGTGTGACAATATAGTTTAAAACCTTACTATTTTCAGCATGGAAATCAGAATCTATTCTGCTAACCTTCTGAGCTTCTAAATTTGGTGTCATGCATAGGCGTGTTTAAAAATTAGCATTTAAAAAGAAACCTACTTGCTTTAAGTTTAAGCTGACACTGTTCCTTTCCTCTGTGGAAATGAAATTTATTAATCATAATAAAACCATCATATTCTGAAGGTAGAGGTCACCCTGAGGAGAAAAAAGTCTATTCATCACGGAGGAATTTCAATGCATTTTTCCCAGATAATATCTGAGCACGGATTCTCTCCCCTTTGGAAATATATTCTTCCAGGGTTGTGCTTATGTGCATCAAGTGTATGGAGGAGGTTGCAGGAATGAGAATTTTTCAATTTAGTTTTGTCTACTTTATTTTCTTTCAGAGACAATTTGGAGGAGTGCTTCTTTACATTTTGTTTCATGTTTACCTTGCAAACATTTATTCAAGTAGAATTCCAACATACTGCTTAAAAAACAAACAAACAAACAAAAAGGATAGGTCGCCATTTTTACATTAGGATTATTTCACCTCTCTTTTGTTTAAAGGAAAAAGCATTGTTTACACAGTAGGACAAAAAACACTGAGTTGGAACTATCATCTATCTTTGGAAATAGCTTAAAATATTTATTTATCCATATTTTCCTCTCAGTTGTCCAGATTTCTGTAGAAGACCATTGTAATACTAATAGCAACATTCCACCATTAAACACTTGTTCATCATTTCAGTGATGAGTTAGGTTAAATATACACCTAATTTAATAAAACTTCAGCACTCTTTGGGCTTGTTCCTTCCTACTTACAAGAGGGCCTTGAGTTTCAGCCACTTAATTCCTTGCTGTGCTTGACTCAGTATGCTCTTGGTTTTTGGTTTTGTAAGGCAATATTATATATTCTGCAGCAAGAATGGAGGATGTAGTATGGAGTCAAAATGCAGCCCTGCTGGACCGCATGGATCAGAGAAGTGAAAAAAAGCTCACAGTGAGTCCCAGTGTAGTTGACAGCTTCCACTACAACATGGTTCTTCCAGGTCTAAATTTAAATAAACAGTTCTTACTCAGTCTTATGACAATAAAAGTTAATCAGGAAAAAATAAATTAAAAAAAAAAGTACTTTAAAACTATACTAATTCCCATTGTTCTAAAAATAATAGTCATGATTTTAAAGCATGTATAATAATAATATATGCAATTCATCCTCTATGTTACTAGGGATATTAAGGAAATGTGTAGATCTGGAAATGAGTCTAGCTTTAAATTAATTGTTTTCCCTTTCTAGATGTTTGCTTATTGTTCAAATGACATCTGGTTTGAGGAAATTAAAAATATAATTATTTTTAAATCAATTCTCAGACTTGAAAAATAAACATACAAAGGAAAATAAGGAGTCTTTTTCACCTCATGAACTTGAACAAGAAATACGACATTCTATTATGTCTTCTATCAAAGCTAATTTTTTTTTAATCTCCAACTATTATAGTGCTTACATCCCAATTTGGAGAGAAACATTGCAAAGCTGCTAGTTGTTCCATCCAAGGAGGCTGCAGAGTTTGTGACCAGTGCCAAACCTGCACTAAGAACTCTTTCTAACTCAAAGGATTACTAAGTGATGCTTACCCAGCAGGCCGATCAGAACTATTCTTCCTCTCCTTCATCTCCTTCCTCCCCTTCCTCTTCTTCTCTCTCCCTTTCTTTCTTTCATTAACAACTCCCTGGTTATTTTAGTGTTCATTGCCTCAGATAATTTTCAAATATTCATGGATACCAACTGTTTAAATGGAATTACATTATAAATTGAATCTTTCACTGTCCAATATAATGGATGTAAAAGAGGAAATAGTTGTATTTTATGCAAGTCTTTTACACATAATTCCCTGAGGTTAAGATCCTAAGATAGAAGATGACTGGACAACATTCTGATTCCTCTGGTTATTTGTGTATATTTATGCACAGATAAACATAGCTTTGGTGAGAATTAGAACCCCTATTCATGAACTTTTAGTTCAAAACTTTGGTAAATTAATTCCTTTTCAATGTATTATCCCTTAATAGAAAGTTTAAATGTACTGAGTAAACATGATAATACAATTGGAGACATTTCAGCCAACATCCAAATTTTGCCACAGAATGTCGTAGAAATAAGCTGCACTTAGCCTTTGCTCAAAACTTGCACTAAAAATAGTAAATAATCTGTCCTTGAAATTTAACACAGTATGTATCCTTTAAACTTATAAAGATTTAAGGATAGTAATTGCCACAAAATATTTTTACATTTTTTTATTAATGTAAAATGACACAGAAACATTTCAATAAGTTTGGGATAAAGGAAAGGAGAGGAATGGCTCATTTTATGTCTGGACAACCACACCATGATTACCAAAGTCCATACATGCCTGCTTTTCAGAATGACCAAATCTGGAGAACTGCAGGGACTGCAGGTGTTTGGAATCTCTAAGAATTAAGCCCAATCATCTTAATGTGAAAACTTGACCCTCAAAATTAGTCAGCATTGTGAAAAAAGGAGTCAAACATCAATTTGGAAAAGTGCTGATCCTTCTTACCGAGCAGTGTAAAATGCAAGAGGAATAGCGCTCAACTCCATGCAATACTCATAGATTTTAAAGGACTACAGCGGTAGCATTGTGTTGCTGGAAAAAGGGGCCTGCTCAGAACTGGTCCCCTGCCAACCTCTGTACATACGCTTCGTAAATTGTACATACACTTAGTAAATTGTATTTACTAAGCTTTATTCTACTTTTGTTTGTTTGTTTGTTCTTTCATCCAGATGTGTGGTTACATAGCTTTGGAAAGGAAAAAAATGTCACCTGTAAATCTGTGACTCTGATGTTGATCGGGTAGTAAGAGGCATTTATGTGAAATATCTGCCTTTTCGGGGTTGAACCTCTTTAACATAGCCTAGTTGTCCTAAGAGATGGTTTACTTAGGATTTCCTTGCAAAGTTAATCCCTCATGCTCTTGTAAATGTTGGCTCAGTGAATGGAGAATAAAGACTGTTTTGTCTGCGGAAGTTTATGCTTTTTCCTTGAGGATGTCCAAAGGTAGGTAGGAATGCTTAGTTCTGTTAGTTTGGACTTTATTCTCTGCCTCGTGTCCAGGACTCACAGAAGTGGGTGGTGTAAGATTGCATGCATTTGCCATGCAACCATTTCTTTCTCAGTTATCCCTCTGCTGATTATATAGGAACTTAATCAGATTCCACTTGTGAAGTATCAATTCTGTTATATAAAATAGGGCGAGTGTCCTCTTTTCCTAAAACAAAAAAAAACAAAATAAAAACCTAAGTTCGCATTTTTGCATCTGTATCTGAAAAATAAGATGGCTATACAGAATGAGACAGAATGGGGTTACTGTTCACATAAGGCTGAAAGCAACATCTCTCAGAGAGAGATCAATAATATTATTAAAACTTAATTTGCTTACTATACTAGATCTTCTGTGAAAGACACCACTATAGTTTCAAGTTTGTTTTTGATTTTATATGTGAAACTTGAGATCAAATGGAAATTATTTGATAGCAGAAAAATACTAGACATTCAAGGAAACGTTTAGTTGACGTGTCTATCTCACTAATGGTAACTATATTCAGACTTGGACTTTTAAACGAAGCCATATATCTCAAGGTGAAGAGGAAGGCAGGGCCAGCAAATTGCTCAGGTGTACATGTAAAGGAGCTTTGAAGTGGTTCTTGCAGTATGATTTTGTACAAGGAAAAATTACAAAAAAAATCTAACTTTTATGTCACTGTCTTAGCTTGGTTGTAGGAGGAATTTGGCTGAAAATTCAGGCTTCAGTTGTGCATGTATCATGGCTTAGGATGACGCTGTCTCTTTAGAAAGAGTGAAAATACACAATAAGTCTGTTCTGTAAAACATATTGCCTCCTACTGTTCTACAAGCCACCCTCCTTAGCCTGCTGCTGATTCTTAATGACCTAGTAAACCTAATTATGCATTTATTGTCATTCATAGCTTTAACATTTCCCAAAGAATAGTTGCTTTTGAAACTGCAAAGTGAGTTTATTTCTAATGAATTTGAGTAGAATGGAATATTTCATTACAACCATTCTGTTAACATTGATAATAGCTGGTTATAATACCTTTTTTCCATTAATCTTCAACTTTATTTTCTTTGCAG